CATGCACAAAGAATCATTCCAGCCAACCCCACTTTCCTTAATCTCTACCCGAATGGCCTTGTAGTTTCCTTTAATGTCGTTCTCCTTGTCTTGAATCTGTGCCTTCGAAAATCCAGCGGATGGGAACTTCTCATTGAAATGCTTTATGATACTTCTCCATCCTTCAGTTGACCAACCATTTTGGCCCTTAAACCTTTTATGATTGTGTTCTTGAAGTACATCAAGAAGTCCTTTCTCATAATTAAAGCTCCATGATGCTCTTGAGCTTTGTCCTTTAGTCATAGCTAGAGTTTACAAAAAATAGCATCCAAACATAACTGTAATAGTTTGGCGACATATAACATAACTCACATAGATAGGAAGTCATAAACATAAATGTCTTATACAATAGCACATTGGCATGTTCAACATTTATTACATAACACACTACAAAATAATCTTCATGCTCTACGACTTGACTGCTACTTCCTAAGCACAATTTTGATTGTAGCGTTCCCACATTTGCATGGCAATCTGATCTCTTAGCACGTTTGCAACATGGTCTTGTAAATTCAGCGACTGCACATCATTTTGATGATTATCATCTCCTTGTGGTAGATCAACATGATCAGATTCTGGTATATAAGTAGGTTGGTGATCTAGCCAATTCTCGTCACCATTTAGATATCTAATTATGTTATGAAAATACAACGGCTGTTGCTGGAATTTTTATTTGAGATTCTATGGGATGATGTGTTCCCACTTTCGGAATTTGAAACCTTTTCTTAAGAATCCCAATAACCCTCTCAATATGGTTTCTAAGAAGTGCATGACGATAATTGAAAAGCTCTTTGTGATGAGCATATTCTCTTCTTCGAGATGAGCGTCGCCGAAACTCAGCAATGTGATATCTGACTCCTCGATAAGGCGCAAGGAATTGTGGTGCATTTGCATACCCACCATCCACAAGATAAAACTTTTCCTCAAGAACTTGGAAACCCTTGGAAATAGCTGATCGAAGAACTCCAAAATCTGAAGCAGACCCTTCCCACCCACAAGAGATAAATGTGAAGTTTAGGTTGAAGTCATATGCTACCATGACATTCTGAGATAGTGTCTTTCCTATTCCTATATGGGAGGCTTTCTCTTCTGCAATTGTGATAGGCACATGTGTGCCGTCGATAGCACCAATACAATTCTATAAAAAAATAAAACTTAAAAACAGAGTAAAATGTTAGAGAGACAGTAAGGTCTAGTGTTATGCCTCACCTGAAAAAGGGCCAAAATCTAGGATCCGTAGCGATCTTGGGTTGAGTTTGGTTGGAAGTAGAAAGCTTCAGAAATCTATAGGCCAGAGTGGAAATGATATTGAAAACTGCCGATTGGGTGCATAAAATCACTGGTCAAGATGCGTAGAAAGGTTTTTGTGCCACATTGCATACAAATTAGTGGTTGAATGAATAAAAAATAATTTTGTTACAGCGTAAAAACCTTTCAACGAGATGGACATTCCACCTGACACAACCGTGGTTGCCTCCACCAACATCATGCTTCCCAATATGGGGAAGTATAATTAACATGTGAACAATACATACAACATGGAGACAGCATGCATAAAAGCCGCATAAAAATTGCTCTAACAATGTATAGAATTGTATACCAATAATGTATAGAATTGTGTAGATGCGTACAGATAACTGCTCCGATGATGTAGTATACAAATTTGTTGTAACAATGTATAGAATGCATATCTGTGTTACAGTTTAGCCATTCATAGAAACTTATGCACACAAGCATACAAACACAAAATCAACATACAAAAAACGATGAAGAGGTGTTGCTGCCGTTGCCGGAGATGTTGGGGAAGGGGCCGGGGGTCGGAGCTGCTGCCGCGAGCCATGGTGGTGAGGGGGCGCCGGGATGCCAGAGCCGGGGGATGTCGTGTCTCGTCGCCGATTGTATGTTGCAGATCCGTGTGCAGCAACGAGCTCGCCACCGTCCACGTCGTTGACCCGTGACCCGTGACGCCGTCGAGGGAAGGGGGCTCGCTGTAGGTCGGGGGAGGACCATGCTACCGTGGGGAGGGCTGGAGAGCCGGCGCCGCAACCTGTTACCAACCAAATCGATGGTGAGGGGCGCACACGTGGAGAGAGGGTTGTCATAGGGGAGGAGCGCATCACCTCGTCACTGGAGGAGGGCTGCGCCGCTGCAGGTCGGGGGAGGGGCGAGGTCGCGCCATCGCCGGACGGGGAGGGGTGGGGCCGCGCAGCCACTGCTCGGGGAGGGCGTGGGGCCGCGCCGCCGTTGCTCGAGGAGGGGCGGACGCGACGCGACGCTCCAGGGACGGCAGTCTGGGCTCCAGATGTGGGGGTGGTGGGTGGTAGTGGGTGGTGGCCAGAGGAGGATTGATGGGGATTAGGGTTTAGAGTAATATATATATATAGAGAGAGAGGCCTGATGGGTTGGTTCGGTTGGGCTGGTGGGAAGCTGGTTTGGTGGAGCTAGACCAGCTAGTTTGGTCAGGCTTACACTAACTATGGGAAGTCCTAAGCTCCCTATATATATTATTCCGTGCCTCACTCAAGTCTAGCAGCTTGAAGCTTGGCTTGACTCACCGTGGGCAATGAGTCGGCAGAGATCTCCGTTCATTGGCTGTTTGGCATGGCTCCAACTAGGTGGGCTGCCCACTCGAGAACTCAAGTGGAGCCGACTCTAGCGCGCGCTAGGTGGAGCCGGCAGGTGGAGTCGGGCTGCAAAAGCGGGTCAAAATTGGCAATTCCATGGAGTTTTGGAGTTGGGGGTGTCTCCAGTTCAGCCATGCCAAACACCCCCTTAACTCCGGATTTTCCCGGAGTGAATGCTGCCTCCTCACCCGCGGACCCGCCGCTGCTACAGGACTTCCGCAGTAACGGCGGCAATAACTGCGGATCCTGCCAGAATCTGGCGCCCCCGTACTGACGGCTGACGCGTGCGGGCGCGGGCTGCCGTGGGCGTGGCCACACGCCACAGTGCCACACCCACACTAGCTGCCGAGTTGCCAGTGCAGCACCTGGCGGCCTGTCCGCTGGCTCCCTCTGGGCACTGGCTGCACACAACACCACACCGAGCTCGGCGCCCCAGCCTACGCCATCCGCCCGTCCCTGCCCAGCACCTGCCACGCCGGCCAGACGAGACACAAGAGCATGCGACGCTGCCGTCTGGGCCTGGGCTGAGGTCGCCAGCGCTACGCGACGCCTGAAACGTATGTCCCCGCCCGTTTCTCACGTCCGTCCTTTCCGAGGAGCGGAGGAGGGGAACTGGCTGAAGGCATCGGAGTCTCGGAGGGAATTGATGATGCGCTGCGCTGCCGATCGACAAGGGCCAGCGTACGGCGAGGCGCTCGCGGCGGAGGAATTTGCCGGCACGGCAGGATGACGCATATGCTCCGAGACTCGAGATTTTTTGTAGCACCTGTCCCCCTGCAGATTCCGATCTTTATGGTTTCGCTGTACAAAGTACTACTCTAAAAAAACCTTAGAGAGAATTATAAAGACTCAAGTTTGATTAAAATTATAGAAAAAATTATAAAGATTTATAACGTCAAATATACATAATATCAAAATATAATTGATAGAGAATCTAATAATATTTAGTTGCTATCATAAATATTATTATTTTATCATATAAATTTAGTCAAGATGTTTTAACTTTACAAGATTCATAAACTGACTTATAGTTTACGACCGAGGGAGCAGTGCTGATGCCGTAAATGCCCCCATCCGTTGTCGTAGCTTGAATTCACGGGCCGGCCGCCCGGCGGCTCTCACTCTCGCTCTCTTGCTGTACGAGGCCACATCTACGCCTCTAGATTCGGTCAGGTACCAATGCGTCCATATGCCTTTTGCGAGTAGCACCATGAGATGAGATCTATCTCGGCACTGTACCGGTGGCACCGACGATTTTGGTAGGAGCAGAGAAAACCCTACCGATTCGGCCAAGTGCAATTGGCAATGTACCAATGGGGAGGCCGACGCCTATCAAGGGCGAGGCAGGCCAGGGAACCGCGTGCCGGCACGTACAGCACTGTCTGCACTATGGACCGGCTGGCTGAGTCCGGCAAGATCGGTGAGATTTTCTACTGCTCTGCCGAATCCGATGGCTGCAGCGCTTACCGTTGGTGGATACTCAAAGATGGGATACCATAACTCTCCCGCTCCCAACAAGAAATTCGAATTCAGCTCGTCAGATGCCAGAACAGAAAATCCATACTAAATACACGGATTTGCTAAAATTCAGGTGTTGTTTCTGGCGATGGTTATTGCATAAAATTACAGCTTTTGTTAATTACAATTTCTATAGACATAATTTGTAATTTTTTGTTCCGAGAATAAAAAACCCTTTACACAAAACCACAAATTTGTTATGTGTTGGCACAAAGACAATTTAACAACTTACAATTATTTCTATAGTCAAACAAGGACAAAAATTTGATATGTTACGACACAAAGACAAATAATAAACCACAAAAGTGATAAATTACTTATACTAATTGTTAGTACAAGAGTGTTGTCTGAAATCATATAAAAATTCAGGCACCTCAAACATAAGAGATGTGTCTAAATATATAGTTTTTGCTATATATTTAGATATACACGTGTCTAGACACATAGTAACAAATGATATGATATATCTAAAAACACTAAAACACCTTATAATTTAGAACGGAGGGAATAGATCCAGATAAGTTCACCAGTGAAAACAACTGTATATAGACTGTAAAATGGTACTGCTATTTATTGAAATTCATGCCATATAAAAAAATACCATTGTTTTCGTTCCAGAGTTTGGTCACAATACAAAATGATTGGTCAGGCTGGCCATCGATCTCAATAATTTAATATTTCATTTTGCCCTTCCAAGATATATCTCTGGATTCTGGAAAGAATGTTTGTACAATTGGCTTCTTTGGCTGTAAAGGAACTCTGGATGACAATCATGTATATAATAATATAAGCTTTCACAAAATGTGAATCCATGCCATTTCAAAATGGAAAGGTCCCTGTTAGCCGGATATGCTCCAGGGTGCGCTTCAGGCCGTACTGAAGAACGGCCCGGTTCCCGGCTCTGAAACCCTCTCCGTAGGCCATGGAAGTATCCGTCTCGATCTGATGCTTGAAAAAATCCCCAAGCTTGTGCTCAAACTGAGACCGGCCCCCCTTTTTGGATGACGTGGATGAAGAAGATCCTGAGGATGACGAAGCAGCACTACTGCCTGATCCGGCCATGATCTCTGACTCGATCCACAGGTGAGCAAGAACTTGGCAAATGCCCTCTTCTACGTCTGGACTCAGTGTCCGGTATCCTGTCATGACATGTTCGTTAGCAGAAATGTCTGTGTAACAGTTTCAAGTAGATAGGATATGTAGGCAAATGATTATGACAACTGCCAAATGAATGCAAGATTTTCTTCACCGTGAAATTAGCATTGATTGCGTTCTTATTTCTAGTTAGTAATTATCCGTGACACCAAAGTTGAGTCCCAACTATTTACATGGCAGCCTCACAAGTTCACTAGCACTGGCTAATAAAAACTTGTTCAGTCTTGAAAACAACTTAATGTCCTTGCTAGCCTAGAACTAAAAGATTACTCCCTCCTTCCAAATTATAAGTCGCTTTGACTTTTTTGGTACATCCATTTTGCTATGCATCTAGATACAATGTTATGTCTAGATACATAGCGAAATGGATGAACCAAAAAAGTCAAAGCGACTTAATTTGAAACGGAGGGAGTAGTTTAGTTGCTATGTGTCAGATCTAAATAGGTCTCCCTTGTATTGGTCCGAGGAAAAACACAAGAACTAGGTATCACCTTTAAGTCGCAACCATGCATGCATCATCTCATGAGCTAAAATTGAACCTGTCAACAATCTGCAAGAACAAAAAATCATAAAAGTCTATACAAACAAATTTGAGCATCCATAATGATTCAATGATGTAGAAGCAAACAAAACAACATAGTATATCCATATCATATAGGACTATAGGAGAATATTATATTGTGATGATGGACAAGAGTAAATTATTTTCCTCATGAACTGTGCAGTCAGTTCATAGTCCAGACATCTCCAATTCCATGCAACTTTTTTTTTGAAGCCTCTCATGTGGGTACAGCTGTTCATGCACAAACACACACACACTACTCACGCACACCCCACTCACACCACACATGCACAACTAGACCTACAACTACACGAAGATCAGTAGACCATGTCCTTCTAGGGATCACCGGGACCATCCATGGCTCCATAAGCGATTTGGGCGTCGCAAGGCCTTTGTGGCTCCAAGAGAGAGAGGCTGCAGACTATTATTGGGAATAAATCCCGGTGAGAGATATGAGTCCGATTCTGGGAATCGAACTCGCGCCGGCAGCGAGCTCACCTGGCTGCGCTAGCCACCCGAGCACTAGCTCGGTTCTCATGCAACTCTTTTTTGGGCACACAGAAGGAACAAAATTCTGAAGGAACTGAAAGAAAATCACTTTGCTGACCTAGTTGTCCCCTTTTCTTCAACTCTGACCTCTAAACTGCACGTTTGCCCCCTTTTCTTTAACTCTGCACCATTGCCCCTGCTTTGACCAAATCAAACACACCAATCCCTATGGTTTTGCCTACTTTGATTGCAAAAAAAATGGCAAAACTAGGGGCAACTGTGTGTTGGCTTGGCCAAAGCAGGGGCAATGGCAAATAGTCAAAAGAAAGAGGGCAAAAGTGCATGTAGAAATTAAAGCTGGGGCAGCAGTGCTTATTGTTTCGGTCAGGAGGTGCTGATTGTGACATTACACAAAACAAAAGGTTGATGTTTCACCTTGGGAGACCATACAGAATGAGAATTGCAGTCACTTCACATCGCCGTGTCAGCCTATATGGCTCTGTTATCATTCCCATAATTTTGTTTCCAGCCATTCTTGGTCTCCTCAGTATCTGAAAACATCATTGTCTCATTCAGAATCCAGCAGAACAACAAAATTGGAACAGAACATGAACTAAATGAGGAAAGAATAATCCAATTGGTGTTTGGAAAAACTCTCACCGTGCTAACAGTCTGTTCTTCTGATAAGCACAGTCCTCTTGTTTCTGGAAGATGGTGGTGACCCTGTATCCAAAAGAAACAAAATAGTTACAGCTAAACAGTACAGTGGGGTAGAAAAGGAAATTTTGGGGTTTGAGCATAGTAAACATACAGCCTTCTCTCCTTCCATGGCTTCATTCAAAGCTTGTCTCTCTACCAGAAGCAGAGGAACCTGCTGTTCCACTTTCATATTCAGTCCTTCGTAAAATTCCTGAATTTCAAGATACAAAGGCTGGCACTCGTTTGTATCCATCACTGCAGAATCTAGGCATTCCAGGCAGAGCTTACGGCCATCATCCAGTAATACATATCTTGATTCCCTTGGCTGGTAAGTAAACGAACCATGTTGGAATGAATTGATCCAAATTTCACACAAAGAGGCTCTCTTCTAACCAAGAAATATGCCCACAAGACCAAATTAAGAAAGAAAAACGTGCTAACTGGGCATACCTCCATTCTTTCACAACTACAGCACCTCGGAGTACCATCCACTTCATGTGAGGGACAGTATTTTTGTAGCCAGAAAGGATGTGCCCTATATTCAATAAGGCCATTCATATTTGTAGGAATCTGAAAAGAAGAAACCATAAGATGGATGGCACCTAATAAAGGACATTAAAATTATTGGCAGCGTATGTATGGATGCTCTCTTGAGACTACTCCAATCATTTCACAGCTTCTAGTTGCTACTTCTACCTGTGCTGGCAGTTGGAGGGGTATTTTTGGCATATAAATGTACAGCACGTCTTCCCTGCCTGTGCTTAGCTGGGCCCAAGATCAGATTTTTTAATCTTCTTTCTCTCCCCCAACATTCTTCCCCACACGGTGCCCCTTCAATCAGACGTCTGCGCGACTGCGCTCCTGCTGGCCTGCTCCTTGCAGCTCCTCCACCGGCGCCATGCCTTCCTCCTCCCACGCCGGTGACCGAGGTCCCTCTCGGCGCAGGCGGTGACTGAGGTCCCTCTCGGTGCAGGCGGCCGAGCGACCATGGCTGCGCCCCACTCCACCCCAAGCGCGTGGCCAGCGGGCGGCCCGCCCAGCGCGGATGCAGCACGCGGACCTCGCCAGCGCAGAGCTCGCCCAGCGCGGGGTGCGGCACGGCGCGGCCGGCGGGCAGCCCGCCCGGCGCAGATGCAGCACGGACCTCGCCAGCGCGGGTGTGGCGCGGCTTGTGGCTGGCGAGTAGCCCACCCAGTCCGTGTGGGATAGGCCATAGTATATCGCAGGTCAGTGGTAGGTGGGCTAGGCCGTATCGCAAACGCCCAAACAGCTTGGATACGTACCAGTCCACGTATCGGAATTTAGTTTTATTTATTTTTTTGCCGATACTTCACGGATACGTATCCGCCGCGCATCCACTGCGTATCCATATCGGATACGTATATCGGAATTTAGTTTTTTTTTTTGCCGATACTTCACGGATACGTATCCGCCGCGTATCCACTGCGTATCCGTATCGGATACGTATCCGATACGGGATACGTGGCCAACCTCACGTATCCGTGTAACGTAGGATGGCACATATGAAAACCAAAAATAGAAGTCAACACAATCAACTTTCTACTTACTGCGAACATAATCAATCAGCTAACTAAAATGTGTAAGTCTACAAGCTTCCGAGCCTTGGTAGTTGCAAAAAATTACGACAAATTCATGCATGTAATCAGATATTAGCAAGAGTAAACATGTCAATCATGGAAAATGTAGAGAAAGCATATTCTCCCTGATATTGGAGGCAGATTTTCTTAGCACAAACAGGCATGTAAGTAAGATGTACAACAAAAACAACTTATAGCATAAACAGATCAGTCAGGGTAAATAAAGTGATTCTTACAAATTGCTTGCAGACATCACATTTTGGGTGAAACTGCTCCTTGTAGCAAGTTTTATGGTACGCATGGTTCCCGGACATGGAGAACTGCAGCATGGCTTTAAGGTCAGTACATTGAAAGAAACTGCTAAAAAGTTTAACAAAAAAGTTACCTCATAGTCATATATCGGTTGACTACAGGCATGGCAACGAAAACATTCCGGATGCCAAACAGCTCCCATGCAACTGAGAAAACGCCCATGACCAATCTCTCTGTGACATCCTGCGCACGCTCTGCAGAAAAGTACACTTTATATTAAAAATAGTAGAAAGAGAAAAAAAAAGGGGGTCAAAATGATATCTTCCATGCCAATCATCCTAGTGTATTCTTGAGCATTACAGTGTCTTATTACAATCGAGGTGAAAAATCATACACAATTTCTTGTTCTTTTGACCGCATTTGAAAGTTCACACATCTACAATTTCTTATTCTTTTGATAGCATTGGAAAATTTCACATGTCCAAGGCACTTCTGTTTAAGGCAACCACATCCTTGAGGACATGCTTCATCCTTCTACATATAAGGTATATCATAACCACAGGCCCCATCCACTTTAAAAGATTTGCTTTCATTTTACATCTGAGCTCTAAATTTCACCACAGTTTGTAACAGTTTTAATTTTTCAAAAAAAGTTTGTAACAGTTTTCCTAAAGACTGGAAGAGAAGATAAGGAAACCGAACTTGGCATAATAACATGCACACTACATAAATCAGATAAAAACATTTCAGTTGTATACCTAAAGCTGCGTGGGATTTGTTTTTTTCTAAAAAATTATGCCATCATGCCTTTGGCTTCTTTACTACATAATATGCAAACTCAACTGGAACTTTCCTGATAGGGCAACCAAGTTTGTTCAGTGGCCGTAACGTAATTGGTTAGTGGGGAAAAACCAGGCCAGGACTTTATATTAGCTGTTGAAAAGTGGAGACACCCATATTCGCTTTTTCTCTGTTCCTTCCAACGAAGAAATGCATAGCTCAGTTGGTGGGAGGTGTGGGATGTACAGTTTGATTCCTCTTCAGCTTTAATTTCTACAGATATTTTTAGCAGTAGTATGCAGCCTGTAAGGTCCATGAGTTCATTTAGTGCACTTCCTTTCTGGTAAACTAAAATATCAGTTCAGTTATATGCTTATTTGCTATTTCATAACCAACAAGCAAATTGCACAAAAGCCAGAATAGTAAAGTAACCAAACTGAAATGAACCTGAATCCGGATGAGAACATAAATGGTAATGGGTGATATGCATTTCCACCATTGGCACTGCCATTTTCGCGAGGTGGCTGATATGCATTGCCACCATGGCCAGTTTCGCGAGGCAGATGATATGTAGTGCCACCATTGGCACTGCCATTTCTGCGAGGGGGTGATTCGACATTCAAACTTTCCTGGATAGCTCTTGCAAGTTGCTCATCCTCCTCCAAATGCATATCCTTATCTAGAAGTAGAACCAAATTAAACCAGAAAGTGTCACACATTAACTGCATGAATTCATAAGAAAACTAGCAGTGCTAGAGACATGGAGTAAATTGAGTAACAATAGTCTTAGAGAAAATTTTGAACACAATACACTACTATGTAACACACTAATGCTCAATTCAGAAATTGGAGAAAAGATTCTTGAATCCATCTTTAAAAGTAAGAATATTGATTGGAAGGAAGGATTCCAAAAAAACAATTAACTATACGATAACTCCTTGTTTTCTTATGGATGGATCTTTTTGCAACCTGATGTTTCCATTTACCTACGAAATCCATAGAAATATAGAACGAACTTTTTCCACTTAAAGATGGAAAAAGAAAAACCACTTTTTTTTATCAAAATTAGACAAGATAAAAAATGAACAGCAATAAGTTAACTATCATAAAGCAAAGATTTCCGATGAACGTACTATCATCATATGCAGTGGACTGGCTTCAAAGGTTTTTTTAAGTACTAGTTAATATGAGAGATAGGTGCTTCTCTAAAACACTAAGTACCTCGATAATGTCACATCATAGGTAAACATAAGTGACAACAATTCCTCTAAAACATTAAGAACCTGGATGAATGTCACGGCATAAATTAATAAGAAAGCATACCAACCTATTGTCTTTGCCTTTCTTTGCTCCTCTTCCGATAGAGAGAGCGCTATAGCACGATCAATATCCTCATTGTTAAACTCTGAAAGGATGTCCTACATTGCATGTCAATATTTGATCAGTGAGATAATCAACCTATTACTTAGAAGGCTATAACAAAGGCATATGGTATTTTTGAAGTAATTGGTCGCTTGGAGCCATCTAAAACTTATTAGAAGGTTATAGTTGTCCAGAAATTGGCTGATGTGTATGTACATATTGATTGAAGCATCAACGTTGCCACAACCACCACAAGCAATAGCAAAAATTTTGTTTTCATGTCATCAATCTCAAAACATTGCGAACATTAGTATCCATATAAGGAAAATTCTAATGGACAAGACATAGTGGTATATATTTATAGCAGCGGGAGTAAAAAAGCTGTCCTTTCAAGTCACTGGGGTACAAAATTCTATCCATTGTATACATCAGAGCTTCCATTTTTCTTAATAACAAGAACATGACAAGTTTTCTTGGAGCTCACGCCAACTGCATCTCCTTTGCCTAAGCTAGATAAATAGAATGACCTCCTTTTATCCTCAACTAGAGTTTAGGAATGTACCGAGGAACTCCAGTACATGGCATTGTTCAAAAACATAAAATGGTAACAGGAGCGTATTGCATAAGGTCCTTACAGTGACAACAGGAGAGCTAGAGGGTTCGTTCCACGCTGCGTCTTCTGCAGGCCTGCTGTGATACTGCCCTTCCGAGATATTGTGGGTTGAGCCTCTAAAAAACTTGGTCAGCCAACCCATATAGCTCGAACTGGCAATAGAACAATAGCTGTTACCTGCAATTATTATATCGAAATGTTAGGACACACAAAACGAATGGTGAGATCAGAATGGGTGAAATTGGACCCCCACCAATTTTTATTGGGAAACAAACTGCACCAGCACTTGGGTGCCAAGTTCAATTGTGTAAGTCTCAACAGATTATTTATCGTCCAAATAGAGAACCTATTCGAACCATGGATGATTGGATTAGATTAGTACGGAACCACGCCGCAGACAAATCCGCAACTGAACTGAACCCAAGCGAGAAAAAGGATATGATTGATAACTCCAATCACTACTGTATAAGCTCTAGAAAATCTATACAAGCACGCTGGGCCTGCTTACCAGGAGACGAGACCGATCCAAGTCCGGATGGATCTCCGCTTCACGGCGCCCGTAGAGACGGGGCGGGAGGCGGCGGGCGAGGCCTCTCCTAGAAGAGGGACCTGGCCTGCCCTGTAGCTACTGTACCCAGGCGTCGGCGGGGGCGATGGCCCGCGCAACAAATTGCCAAGAAGAAACGAGTCGGCGAAGGAATCGGAGGAGAAATCGGGAGAGCGGAGGAAGCCGAAGGCAGGCGAGTTGGGGGCGCGGGGCGGGCGAGAGCGACCGAGCGCGAGCGGGCAGGTTGCGATCCTAAGACGAAATGACCCTCTCTCTCTTTTGGTTCGGGGGGGTTCAGGCTGGCGTCGCTTGCCTTTTCAGGTGATCTCGGCGAGGAGAGGAGGCGCGGCGGCCGACGCGGTGGTCGGCGCGGGCGAGCCGTTTGGCCGGCAAAGCCCGCTCAGGGTCGGGGTCGCGGCGTCAGGTGCCCACGCAGAGAAGCGGGTAGCGGGGTGGGGTAACGGGCCACGAAACCGAGGAACGGAGAGGGGTGGACGCGGACACGCGACAAGTCGCCCAAAACGGCTGCCGGATAGCAACCAGAAAGTCGCTGGGATTCTCTTCACGTTTTTGGGCGCTTGAACTTGACAGTTTGTCACACTGACGCGCTCTCCTTTGAACGGAGAAACATCTATCTTCAGAAGATCTCTCCTACGGTCAATCTACTAAGCGAAAATTAGTTCCGTACCATCCACCGTAAAATACCATTGAAAGATTTTGGCCCCGTAAAATACTACTAAAAGTTGCCACTACGAACTAAAAATACCATTCCATCAGTTTTTAGCAACTAAGCCGTTAAATGAGACCAAAATACCCTCAAATCAGTAGAACGTGAATACATTACCCCAGCACGTAGTAATAGGTTGAACCCAGCACATATGAACAGATAATTAAGCACCTGGGTCCATCCACATATTAACAGCACATATATACAGATTCATCCAGCACCATTTTTACCATTTAACACATACACAAGGACAATCATTCCAGCACATTACAACTGTCATTGCAGCACATTACATTTATGGAAACGCATCCATAGTTTAAAACATGCACCCAACACTTAATAAGGGTCTGTTCGCTTGTCTAAATTTTAGAAGAATCTGGATGGTTTGGAGGAATGCTGGAGTAACTTGTGAGAGAAAAACACTGTTCCGAATGAAAAAAAATAAGCGGATCAAGCCGGATTTAAGGACACGCGAACGGTGCCTAAGTCTGTCTGCTAGCACGCAAAGGTCTAATAATACCAACACTAGCTAGAAAATAACAGTGGCACTACACATAGACTTTGCTCTTACAAATCCAATGCCTAGCCTATGATAAGTCGCCTCACAATACCTCCTGACGACGTTTCTGCTGCTGCCCTACTTCTTGTTGTAGGCCCTGGACTGAGAGGACTAGAAATAGAAGCTGCCATCAACCTCATTGTTGGCCCTGGACTAACCGGTGTTTGTGTGACTAAGGAAGTAGAGGCTGCTGCAGATGCCTTCTTAGATTTCTTAGGAGCTTTGGTGGAGTTTGAAGTACTTGGTTTTTCTTTCCTTTTCCTATATAACAGCAAGGTAATCAACAATTATACTAAGAAAGAATAGCTATTTGTCGGTGTTTCAAACAAGCACCGGCTAGTAAATTTATAATTGATGCGCGTTAGGCCTGGATGGTGTGCTAAAGGACACAAGGTTCATACTGGTTCGGGCTGAATGTCCCTACGTCTAGTCTATTGCTGCTCGTGCTATTAGCACCGAAAAAGGTTCGTTGTAGGGGGTACAAACGATCATGAGAGGGACTGATCCCAGGTCTCTGATGAAAGGGTCGAAAGGATGCCAAGAGGGTGACGGCTTGGCTGTGTGTGTGATGTGGAACTGAACTCTCTATGAGCTCGTCTGTATGTGAGTTGCCCGTCAAAAGTCGGCCCCCCTAGCGGAGAGCCCTACCCTCCCTTTTATAGACCAAAGGGGAGCAGGGGTTACAGATGAGAGAAAGAGAAAAATACCATAAGTATAGAAGGTCCTTCGAATGATTCGGGTCTCCCTTTTTTCCCGCGCCTGCCCTGCATAACATGGCAGACCGTGTCAGGAGTGGCGTGGTTGTTGATCTTCGTAGGCCATGCCCTGGCCTCATTTAGCAAGTGGGCGCGTCCCATCCCGCCCCCGCGGGCGGCGTGTCGGACAGGGTTGTCGAACTCCGACCCCGTGGGGAGCGGATGGCGCGGTGACTGCCCGTTTGCCACTGTAGAGGATGGGAGTCCCTCCTTAGAACGTAGTGGTTGTCGTATGTCCGTGTCGGGTTCTTCGCCCGGAGGCTGAAGGCGGCGCCTACAACCCTGTAGGGCGAAGAGCACGCGCCTGCAACACTATTCAGGCTCTGCCACGCCTGGAAGGGTCTAAGCACCCGTCCCGTCATGCCCTGATGGTACTTTCCTGCAGGGGCGCAGGACATGGTCCTCAATGCCGCAGTTGACCCGAACATCTTGTCTTACCTGTGCCTATCATCATGAGGGAGTGAGGTGCGGTTGTCAGGCGAGGTGGGGCCAGCCTTTGGACATCGGGCGAGGCGAGGTCCGCCCTCGGACGTCGCCGGGTGAGGTGGAGCCTAGCTTTTATCCGTTGGGCGAGGCGGAGCCCAGCCCTCGGGGGTCGGACGAGGCGGAGCCTAGCCCTCGGGGGTCGGGCGAGGCGGAGTCTAGCCTTAGCCCTTGGGCGAGGCGGAGCCAAGCCCTCTGCCCTCGGACGAGGTGGAGTCTATCCCTTAGCCCTCGGGTGAGGCGGAGCCGAGCCCTCAGCCCTCGGGCGATGCGGAGTCTATCCCTCAGCCCTCGGGCGAGGCGGAGCTGGCCCAAAGGGCGTCGGGCGAGGCGGAACCAAACTCCCGTCGTTCGGGCAAGAAGCGCAGCAGTGTTCTTATCCGTTCGGGAGTTTTTAACGTTCGATGGTTATTAGTCCCACCTCCTTGGGTACCCCGGTATTAGGTCCCCGACAAGAGTTCTCAAGCCCCGGGTGATCCGGATAGAATCGCCTGGGGGTTGATTTGTCGGACGGAGTTAATTTCACGGAGGGTAAGCTTGGTGGCCTTGGTGGATGTAGCCCCCGAGCCCCCGGGTGATTCGAGTAGAATTGCTCGGGGGGTGTTTCGATTTTGTCAGAGTCAATCCGCCAGAGGGTCAAGAGACCTCTTGGGTGTAAGCCTGAGCCCCGGGTGATTCGAGTAGAATTGCCTGGGGGTGTCTCGATTTTGTCGGAGTCAATCCGCCAGAGGGTGCCCGCAAGCGCACCCGGTGGGTGTAACCCCCGAGGCACCGGGTGATTCGAGTAGAATCGCCCGGGGGTAGTATCGGACCCTTCGTGGGTAAGGCCGTAAGACTTGGTCTTTTATCAACTGGATATTTTTAAAGGGAATCGTGGTATCCCGTTCGCGGGGATTTCATTCAGGGCCGGCCTGGCTAGGGCTTGACTGCAGATCGAGGCCCTAGCGATGTCTGCGTCCTTGAGTCCTAGTCGTTTTGCAGGCCCATCCTTCGTTGGGACGGCCCTTGGGCTCCGGGATCCTAGGTGGGCCGGAGAGAAAAAGCTTTGTGGCCCGTATTCCCTTGGTGGGAAAAGAGTCCTGGTCCGCCTGGGGAAGGCGAACCGCTCGGCGCGACTTTCACGGGAAGGGATAGGGATTGCGTGCGCATGTCTCATGACGTGACGCAGTGGTGCGTCGTGGCGGGCTCGGAGATCGAGGTGGACCGTTGCCCTTCTCGCATCCGTCGCCCCTATAAAACCACGAGGTTCGCCCCTAGGGTTCCATACTTCGCCTCCTTGCCCCCACATTCTCAGCCTCCGCCACCAATCGCCTGAGCCTCTCGCACCTGCACTTCTCCCGCCGTAAAACTCACTGCTGCCTTCTTCCCCGTGCTGCTCCTGCCGTCGCAATGGACCCGGGGTACAAATCCAACATCTCCACTCAGCGCTTGGAGGGCCTCGTCCGCCGAGTCCTCCTCCGCCCGTTGACCGCCGCCGAGGAGTGGCGGCTGCCCAGCGAAGAGGACGAGCTGCAGCCGCCTGAAGGGTACGTCGTGTCTTTCGCTCACTTCCATGAGCGGGGATTCGCCATGCCCACCCATCAGTTTTTCCGGGGACTGCTGGACTACTATCAGGTGGAGCTGCAGCACCTTGCCCCCAATGGGATCTAGCATATTGCGGCATTCATCGCCCTATGCGAGGGGTTCTTGGGGATCAGTCCCCACTTCGACCTGTGGCAGTATCTCTTCGTCGTCAATCTTGTGAAGAGGCGGGTCGGGAAGCAAGAACTGCACGTGCCGGTGGGGTGCGCCAGCATCCACCTCCGCAACAACCGGGCGGGGGCGTACCCGCTAATGCGTCTATCCACCTCCAACAAGGGGTGGCATTCACAATGGTTCTATGTCAAGAATGACGCCGCCGCCCCCTTGCCAGCTTTCACTGGGAGCTACATCTTGGAGGCCCCGGGGTCATGGGGGTGGGGTGTCCCGGGCAAGGAAAAGAAGCAACTCAACGGCCTTCTCGCCGCCCTCCGAACTCTGAAGCAGAGGGGCGTGAAGGGGTCAGGGATTATCGGCGCCTACCATGCGAGGAGGGTTGCACCGCTGATGGCGCGCGCGCTTCCCCTGTATCAGATGGTGCCCGAAGCGTCATTCGAAGGGACGATGCTTGTCGATGAGGCGCTCCCTCACTCCGAAGTGGCGCAACGCATCAAGGAGGTGATGGAGCCCATGAAGGACTTTGTTGGCGCTGTCCTTGACTTCGTAACCAGGGTTCGTTGACTTCGTAAGTCTTCTTTCCTCTTGCTCCTCTTTTCTCTAGAATTTCCGACCCCCTGACGCTAACCTCGGGATAGCGGGACCAGCCGGGGGGACTGTTCTTCAAGGACAGCCCGGCCCCACTGCCGAAGGACCTAGCCCGGATGGCAACGAACCGCGCTTTGGTAGGTTGGGACAAGAAGACGAGGGAGCTTGCGAAGAAAAAGGCGATACGGAAGCAGCAAGCTCGCGACTGAGGAGAGGAGACCGGCAGTGAAGACGATGACGATGAGTCTGACGAGACAGCAGCCGGCGTGGATTGGGGTGACCTAGTGGACGAGGACTCGTTGCCCACGCAGGGACCCTTCCCGTTCCACACGGGGGGAAGTGAGTCCGCGGGGACGGTGGAGCCGGGCCTGCCCCTGGGTCTGGTGGATCCGCCGTTATCGTCGGGGTGCCGGCGGAGGATCGGTGGACGGGAGGGGACGGATCCGAGGCCGTCCCCGAGGTGCTGGTGGAGGGGGGCGACTCCGACGCCGCACCCCATGAGCTGATGGAGGGGGGTGGCTGTGGCAGAACCTCCTAAATTATAGGGCCCACATGCACCTATCACTGTCCAACGACCTTTGACATCTATGCATATGTTCCCGGTAACTTAAGAAGACTGTCGGGTGTTCTCGGGGAACCCCAAATCATCCACGATTTCCGAGCAGGATCACATTACAGAGTCATTGCAGTATTACAACAATTTATTCAAATAGATACATCAGAGTAAAAGTAGCGGAAGACTTACAATAACATAGTTTACAAACCATTTGTTTTTAAACCATACAACTAAGTTCGATAATAAAACAAACCAAAGTAGTGGAGTGGCATTATAATATATTACAAAACACACAACATAAGCTGCCCTGCCCAAGGGCCACACATTTAATTATCGTCATCGCACTGAACAACAGTCATGCAGCACGATCCAAAATAGATCTGCTCATGAGCCTCACCTGCAACAAGGGTCAACGAACCCTAAGTACAAAAGTACTCAACAAGACTTAACCGAAATAAGAATTTAAAAGAACACAGGAATGCAGGCTCATGGGATTCAAGGTATGGCTTTAGCAATAATCAAGGTTCTTTTTGTGTAAAAGCATTTTAACAAAATTCTTTATATCAACGTTTAAAACTTCATAAAGATCATATACAAAGCTGACACGATCCGTATTGAGATCATGAAACTTCGTATCCAACACTTTCTCATACCATCCTTAGTTCCAGTTATTAATTACTACGATGATGAACAGTGAGTTGAGTCTCCATAACCGAGGAGCAACGATGATTCGAACCGATTATAACCCATTTAGGAATTCCAGACCACATGACATATGTAGGTCCCTGACCTACGTATACCAACCTACCCTCGGATCCTCTAAAACAAGAACGGGTCCGCGCCACCCGAGAATACAGTACTCCACCAATCCAGCCCATTGCCACATGGGTACACGCTATTCCCGCCATCTCTCCACTCACAGTGCGTGAGTAGCCATTCTCATAATAGAATAACCAAGTTAAGGCTTACCGAAGTATGTAGTTAGTACTACAAAGTCTCACCTCATGCAATTCAACAACGGACGGACCTTAATCGATACAGGCGGAAAGAACCTGCTCACAAG